TTCCACGACAAGAATCCTTTTTTGGTTTTGCTTTTTGCTTTTGCAAATAAAATTTTATTTTTTTTGGGGGGGGGAGGCTGCAGGGGCAGAGAGCAGAAGCAAGGGGATGGGGAGAAGAATGGGATTGGGATGCATGATGTGAAATCTACAAGCAATCAATAAAAAGTTTAAAAAAAAAAAGAAAGAGAGGCTCTGTCTGTGCTGCTCAGTCAGGATGTCCATGTGTAGCGTTTCTGCTGATACAGGAGTAGGACTGCCCCATCAGACACTGTCCTACAAGATGCTCCCTGACTTTTGATGGCAGAACCCTTGTTTGCTGTGCCATGGGCTCTGCCTTGCACTCTGGAACTCTCTGGGTGGCTGGCTTTCTGGGATCTCTGTATTTCTGTTGAGTGATTGTCCCTGGTGTATCACGTACTTATCTCTGTGCAGGCATCTAACTCCTTCTTAGCGTGTTGCTGCTCTAGTGCTCTGAACTGGGGTGATTCAGCACACAAACTTTGAGACAGTTTTGTGTAAAACCTAGCTCTGTCTGTTTTCTCCCTTTGTAGTCAATGTGCTAAACTTTGCTTGTGTAGAGTCATGTGCTTGGTTAGTTGTTACTATTATTTTTTCTTTTTAAAAAGTTTACCAGCAGGCCACTCCAGCCAGGGATGCAGGTATGGAACCTCAGTTCCTCCAAAACCAACCCCTAGGCTCATCCCCAGTGCAGACCATTCCTGTGGCCTCCCTTCCCCCCTCTGTCTCTGTCACCAGTGGAACACACAGGTCTTCCTCTCCTAACTCCACCCCCCCACATGAACTGCTTTATCCCAGCCCCTAAATCCATCAGGCACTCTCTGGGAATCCACAGGCCACTCCAGCCAGCCAAGCAGGAAGGTTAACTGCAGACCTTCACCACCACCCCTCCAAGTCCAATGCAGCAGTCTCAGTTGCAGCTCTGTAGCAAATTTGATGTGGCCTCTTCTCACTCTCTGTCCCCATTCCCAGGAGATTAAACAGATCCTGATGCAACACCCTGCTTTCCTCCCGTCTGTGGACCTGTCGCTCCCCTCTCCTAATCAATCTCCATTCCTATGTGTTAGCTCCCAATACCTAGAAACACATTTTGCCTGGAAACCCAGTGTCCACACTTACCAGGATTCTAACAGGAAACACACAACAACCATACCCTCCTAACAACTAGCAAGGGCAACAGAAATTGAGGAACACATTCACCCAACAAAGACAAGACCAGACATCAGCCTCTAGAAGTTCAATCTTCCCAATATCGTAACTAGTAATAGCTAAAACAATATGTTTGTACTAGAGCCCAGCAACCCTACCACAGCAGATCCTGAGTATTGTGACATGGCTGAAGCACAATGATCTTAAAGTAGCCTTTATGAATATGTTAGAGGTACTGAAAAAGAAAGTGAATAAATCCCTTAAAGAAATATTTGAAAACTCAAGCATACAAAGGAAATGAGTAAAACAGTTCAAGTGGAAAAAAAACCTAAAAATGAAAAATTTAGAAACTTGAACAGAAACCTCATAGATAAACCTCACTGACAGAGTACAAGAGATGGAGTAGAGAATCACAGGCATGGAAGACATGTTATAAGAATGGACACATCAGTCAAAGAAAATGATAAATCTAAAAGGTTCATGGAACAAAACATCCAGGAAATCTGGAACACCATTAAAAGACCAAATCTAAGAATAAAGGAAGGAGAAGAAACCCAAGTCAAAGGCACAGAAAATATTTCAACAAAATAATGGAAGAAAATTTCCCTAACGTAATGAAGGAGATGCCTTTCAAAATACAAGAAGCTTACAGAACACCAAATAGACTGGACCAGAAAAGAAAGTCCCCTTGGCACATAATAATCAAAATATTAAGCATACAGAACAAAGAAAGAACATTAAAAAATGCAAGGGGGAAAGACCAACTAACAAATAAAGGCAGACCTATTAGAATTACACATGACTTCTCAATGGAGACTCTAAAAGCCAGAAGGGCCTGGAAAGATGTCCTGTAGACTGTAAGAGACCATAGACGCCAGCCCAGATTACTATACCCAGCAAAATGTTCAGTCACAATAGATGAATAAAATAAGCTACTCCATGATAAAACTAAATTTAAGCAATAGCTATCTACACAAATCTAGCCCTACAGAAGGCACTAGAAGGAAAACTTCAACCTAAGAGGTTAATTGCATAGAAGAAAACACAGGAAATAAGTAATCTTAGACAGAGGGTCAAAAGATGGGGAATACACACACATACACACACACACACACACACACACACACACACACACACACACAAACACCACTACCACCACCATCACAACAAAATAATAGGAATCAACAAATACTGCTCATTGATTTCTCTTAACATCAATTCTCTCAATTCCCCAATAAGAAGACATAGACTAACAGAATGGATGTGAAAACAGGATTCATCTTTCTGCTGCATCTGAAAGGATGAAGAAATACAGCCTAGCTCTCCCATGACCACAAAAAACTAGAAGTCAAAAAAAGCCCTAAATACCAAACCTGGTCCCCTGGCAGCAACTAGGCAAAAGGTCACATTCTTTGCTATTTAGGAGAGGACCTGTGAGTACATGAGCTTTGTCACCCAACCCAGGAACCCTCGCAAATGCAAACCAACAGGGGTATAGGAAAGTGATTGGTCTATAAAGCACGGGCTTGGATGGTTTAAATTGATTGGTCTGCACCGCGTGGGCTCTGGATGCTATGAGATGATTGGTTTACGATGCACGGGCTTTGTTGTAATCCTATAAAAGCTATCTTACTTCTGCCCTCATGGTCCTCGGTCCTCTACCCCTGCATGGCGTATGACTGTGGACCCCAGTGCACTTGGAATAAAAAAGACCTCATGCTTTTACATCAAGACCGCGTCTCGTGAGTGATTTGGGGGGGGGGGGCGCCTTTCCTGAGTGGGAGGGTGAAGGTCCACATTCTGCGGGTCTTTCACATCCAAGAAACATACCTTAACACCAAGGCTAGACATCGCCTCAGGGCAAAAGTATGAAAAAAAGATATTCCAAACAAATAAATCTAAGAATCAAGCTGGTGTAGTCATTTAAGATAGGGAAGGACACTATATACTCATCAAAGGAAAAAGTCACCAAGAGAACATTGCAATTCTTAACATTTATGTGCAAACACAAGGGCATCCATGATAGTAAAAGAAATACTACTACAGATTAAATCACATATTGATATTCACATAATGTTAGTGGGAGACTTCAATACCCCTGTCTCACAAATAGTCAGGTCATACAGTCAAAAACTAAACAGAGAAAGGCTGGAGCTAACTAAAGTTATAAACCAAATGGACCTAACAGATATTTTCAGAACATTTCCTCCAAACACAAAGGAATATACCTTCTTTTTGGCACCTCATGGAACTTTCTTCAAAATTGACCACATACTTGGACACAATTAAGTCTTAATAGATATAAGAAAATTGAAATAACTCCCTGCATCCTATCTGACCACATATTAAAGCTGGATATCAACAACAGCAGAAGCAACAGAAAGCTTGCAAACTCATGGAAGCTGAATAACCCACAACTGAATGAAAAATGGGTCAAGACAAAAATAAAGAAATTAAAGACTTTCTAGAACTGAATGACAATGAATACACAGCATACCCAAACTTACAGGACACTATGAAGGCGATTGTAAGAGGCAAATTCCCAGCACTCGTGAGGCAGAGGCAGGTGGACCTCTGTGAGTTTGAAGCCAGCCTGGCCTATAGAGCACGCTCCAGGACAGGCTGCAAAACCATAGAGAAACCCATCTTGAAAAAAAAAAAACAAAAACAAACAAACAAACAAACAAACAAAAGGCAAACTCATAGCAGTGACTACATAAAAAAAGGAGCCATCTCATATTAGTAACTTTATAGTATGCCTGAAATCTCTAGAACAAAAAGAAGAAATTATACCCAAAAGGAATAAATGACAAGAAATAATCAAACTGAGGGCTAAAATTAATAAAATAAAACAACAACAAAATCAATGAAGAAGAAGAAGAAGAGGAGGAGGAGTTTGGTTCTTTGAGAAAATCAATAAGATTGATAAACCCTTATCCAAATTAATTAAAACAATATCCAAATTAATAAAATTAGAAATGAAAAGGGGAGAAAAAGAATGAAAAAGGGGATGTAATAACAGTCACGGAGGAAATGCAGAAGATCCTTATTATGGAGTACAAACCTGTATTCCACAGAAGTGGAAAATAAAAAAAAATATTTCTAGATACCTATCACTTACTAAAGTTGAATCAAGATCAGATAAGCAATTTAAACAGACCTATAACCCCTAGTGGAATATAAACAGTCATTGAAAATCTCCCAACCCAAAATAGCCCAGGGCCAGATGGTTTTAGTGCAGAATTCTACCATATTTTCAAAGAGTTAACACCAACACTACTCAAATTATTCCATTACCTATAAATATAAGGAACACTGTCAAATTCTTTTTATGAGACCACAGTTACCCTGATAACCACAAAAAGACCCAACAAAGAAAGAGAATTACAGATCAATTTCCCTTATGAACGTAGATGTAAAAATTCTCAATAGAATACTTGCAAATAAAATCTAAGAACATGTCAAAAGATTATCCACCATGACCAAGTAGGCTTCATTCCAGAGATTCAGGAATGGTTCAACCTCTATAAATTGATAAATGTAATCCACCATATAAACAGACTGAAAGACAAAAAACCACATTATCATCTCATTATATATAGAAAAGGCTTTTGGCAAAATTTAACACCTCTTCATGATAAAAGTCCTGGAGAGATTAGGAATACAACAGACATACCTCAATATAATGAAGGCAGTGTGTAGCAAGCAGACAGCAAACATCAATTCAAACAGGGAGAAACTCAAAACAATTCTGCTAAAATTAGGAACAAGATAAAATTGTTCACTCTCTCCATACCTATTCAGTATAGTGTATGAAGTCTTTTTTTTTAAACAACAGTAAAATGTTTTCTTGCATTAAACTGAAGACATCTTTTTAATTTAAAAAACAAAAGAAAATGTAGAAAGGTACTTAGAGCTGTTAATTTCTAAGTACACAATATCCTAGACAATTCAAGGCATCTTAATCTCAGTCGAGAACAACAAAAAATAATTTTTGTCATGCTGTTAATCCATCATTATGGATAAAATTGGTGCAAATTGGTCAAACGGATCCAACAAACACGGATGTCCAAGCTGGTATATTGGCAACTAATACATAACTGGTGGTCAATAGAGTTTAAAAGATCTTGCCTTTCTTCTTGTTCTTTTCCAAGGTTCTTGAAGAGTTCTGTTGCTCTAAAATGCGTTGTTGAGCTTCCCAGTTTGCTTTCTCTTCTTCAAACTGGCGACGTTTTTCCTCTAATTCTTTGTGTTGTGCTTCTAAACTGTTTTTCATTTGCTCATGGCGCCGCTGGAGCTCAGCTTCAGAGTCCTTCAGTTTTTGAACTTTTTCTTTGACCTTCATTTCAAACACCTGCTCCATCTCCATCTCCATCTTCTTCATCTTGGCTACATGTTCCCTTCTTTCTTCTTCCATCTGTGCCAGAGGGCTCTTAGTAAATTGTCCTTTATTCTTGTTGTTATCCACTCCATTGTAAGTCACTGCTGCTAGTTTTCTGCTTCTGTAGTTCTCATAGTGTACGTTATTAGTAACATCTTTCAAATCCTGCATGTGTGTTCTTATCAACATATTTCTTAGAATTGTAAAATCACAATGTTCACCATTTTCAACTTCAGCCACACCCCAAGGATATTGCCTTCCTCTGACTCTTTTGCCGTTAACTTCGATGATAGTATTACTTACTACCTACCACAGCAAGAGGTAAACGGTCCTTTATCTTCTTAACCAGTTCATTCTCTTCTTCATCATCTGTTTCTGGAAATTCATATATTTTAATTTTATGTTCTTGGATTTCTTTCATTATCTGCTTTTTAAACTGTTGACATTCCTCTGGTGTGAGTGTGTCTGCTTTGGCAATTAGTGGGATGATATTTACTTTTTCATGCAAACGTTTCATAAATTCAATATCCATGCCCTGAAGGAGCAATGAAGTATAAACAACACTGTACCCTGTTATCGGGCATCTGCCATCTGTTCACTCGAGATTCTGCATTTAAGTAATCCTCGAATTTACTGTCAATGTAGTCAATAACAGGCTGCCAGCAATTACTATTATCCACTGCATCTCCAAATCCTGGGGTATGAACTATTGTCAGCAGCAACTGAACACTACCTTCTTTGATTAAAACTTTGGATTGCTCCACCTGTACAGTCTTTTTTATTCTGTGAGAAGGACCTGGATACTTTGGAGAATACAAATCTTTGAGGAACAATGAGTTGATTAAGGTTGACTTTCCCAGTCCAGATTTACCTACTACCATAAGTGTGAATTCAAATTCTCTTTTCACTGATTTTCTGTACACTTGATTTGGAAGGTTGGCAAATCCCACATAGCCCTCAAGGTTCTTCGGTTGAGCCATGGTGCTGCAGTTGACGCTCCTCTCCTCAACAGCAGCGGATCTCGCACTGGCACTAACTGACATCTTCTCCCCTTCCAGCTCTGGCGCGGTTCTGCGGCATAGCTGCCCCGCGCTTCGCTGCCCCATTTACGCACACAGCAGCGGGCGGACTGCCCGACTCGTGTCTGAAGTCTTAAATAAAACAATAAGACAACTAAAGGTCAAGGGGCTACAAATAGGAAAGAATGACATCAGAGTATCTTTATTTGCAGATGATATAATACATAATCAACTCTCACCCCAAATTCACGAGGAAACTCCTTCAACTGATAAAAACTTCTAGCAAAAGAGTTGCCTGCAAAACTAACTCACAAAAATCAGTAGCCCTCCTATACATAAAGGAAAGACTGAGAAAGAAATCAGGGAAACAATACCTTTTACAATAGCCTCAAATAAAATAAAATGTCTTGGGGGTACCTCTAACTAAGGAAGAAAAACATCTGTAGGATAAGAATGTATAAGTCTTTGAAGAAAGAAACCGAAGAAGAAATCAGAAGATGGAAAGACTCCCGCATGTGCATGGATTGGTAGGATTAATATACTAAAAATGGCTATCCTACCAAAAGTAATCTGCACATCCAATGCAATTCCATTGAATTTCTGACACAATTCTTCACATGTCTTGAAAGGACTATTTTCAACTTCATATGGAAACAAAGAAGTTAAAACAATCCTTAATAATAAAAGAATTGTGGGAGATATCACTATCCCAGATTTCACATTGTACTACAGGAAAAATGGCTGCACACAGGCAGACATGATTGATGTTGGGTAAGTTGAGAGTTCTACATCTGGATCTGCAAGTAACAGAAAAAGAGAGCGACACATGGCTTGACTTAAGTCCTTGGAACCTCTAGGTATATACCCAAGGACACACTCCATCCAACAAGATCACACCCACTCCAACAAGGACACACCTCCTAATCTCTTCCACGTCATACCAATTCCTGATGACTAAGCATTCAAATATATCAGCCTATAGGGGCCATTCTTTTTTTTAATTTTTATTAATTTATTTTTTAATTTTTATTTTACATGTCAATCACAGGTCCCTCTCCCTCCCTCTCTTTTTCCCTCCGTCCCACCCTCTCATGCTCCCTGACCACCTTCCCTCCCATCCCCCCCCACTCCACATGTAGGGTGATGCCCTCCAGGAGGGGTCATCTAAATATGTCAAGTCATTTGGAGTAGGGACTAGGACTTCTCTCCTGTCTCTAGGTTAAGGGAATATCCCTCCATGGGGGATGTGCCCCCAGAGTCATTTTGTCCACCAGGAATACATCCTGGTTCCACTGTCCGAGGTCCCTTAGACTGCTCAGACCTTCTGAGACCCGTGTTCAGGGGGTCTGAGTCAGTCCCATGCTGGATTCCCAGTTATCAGTCTGGGGGCCCATTAGCTCCTCCTTGTTCAGGTCAGCTGTCCCTATGTGTTTCTGCAGCCTGGTCTTGCCTCCCTCCCTGCAAATGGATTCCAGTTTGGCTCAGTGTTTAGTTGTGGGTGTTTGCTTCTGTTTCCATCAGCTACTAGATGATGCTCCATGATGGTGGATAAGTTAGTCATTGATCTCATTCTCAGGGAAGGGCATTTATGGTAGCTTTTCCACTGTTGTGCAAATTGTTAGTTGGGGTCAGTCTTGTAGGTCTCTGGACATTTCTCTAGGTTCAGTTTTCTCTTGAAACCTATAATGGCTCCCTCTTTTATGGTCTCCCTCCCTCCCTCCCTCCCTCCCTCTCTCTCTCCCTTTTAATTCTTCCTCTCTCTCTCTCTCTCTCTCTCTCTCTCTCTCTCTCTCTCTCTCTCTCTCCCTCTTCTCTCATCTATTCCTCCCCTGACTCAATCTTCCTAGTCCCACGTGCTTTCCTCTCCTCCCCTTCTCTTTCTCCTAGTTCCCTCTCCATTCACTGCCCCTCCCCAACTCCCCATATGCTCAGGAGATCTTGTCTCTTTCTCCTTCCGTGAGGGACCTTATATGAATCTCTTAGAATCTTCCTTGTATCCTAGTTTCTCTGGTGGTGTGAATTATAGGCTGGTGATCCTTTGCTCTATGTCTAAAATCCATATATGAGTGAGTACATACCATGTTCCTCTTTTTTGTGACTGGATTACCTCAATCAGGATGGTTTCTTCAAGTTCCATCCACTTGCCTGCGAATTTCAAGATACCATTGGTTTTTTCCACAGACTAGTATTCCACTGGGTATATGTGCCACATCTTCTTTATCCATTCTTTAGTTGAGGGGCATCTAGATTGCTTCCAGGTTCTGGCTATTATATATTTATACTGCTATGAACATGGTTGAACAGATATCTTTGTGGTATGAATGTGGATCATTTAGGTATATGCCTAAGAGTGGAACTGCTGGATCCTGAGGGAGACTGATTCCCATTTTTCTGAGAAAACGCCACACTTATTTTCAAAGTAACTGTGCAAATTTTCACTCCCACCAGCAATGGAGGAGGGTTCCCCTTGTCCACATCTTCTCCAGCATAAACTATCATTGGTGTTTTTTAATTTTAGCCATTTTGACTGGTGTAAGATGGTATCTCAGAGTTGTTTTAATTTGCATTTCCCTGATGGCTAAGGATGCTGAGCAATTTCTTAAGTGCCTTTCAGCCATTTTAGATTCCTCTATTGCAAATCCCCTATTTAGTTCTGTATCCCACTTTTTAATTGGATTGTTTGGTGTTTTGGTGACTAGCTTCTTGAGTTTTTTGTATATTTTAGAGATCAGCCCTGTGTTAGATGTGGGGTTAGTGAAGATCTTTTCCCATTCTGTGAGCTGCCTTTTTGTCTTGTTGACTGTGTCCTTTGACTTACAGAAGCTTCTCAGTTTCAGGAGGTCCCATTGTTAATTGTTGATCTCAATATCTGTGCTACTGGTATTACGTTCGGGAAGCGGTCTCCTGTACCAATTCCTTCAAGGGTACCTCCCACTTTCTCTTCTAAGAGGTTCAGTGTGGCTAGATTTATGTTGAGGTCTTTGACCCATTTGGAATTAAGTTTTTTGCGTGGAGATATATATGGATCTAGCTGTAATCTTCTACATGTCAACATCCAGTTATACCAGCACCACTTGTTGATGATGCTTTCTTTTATTTATTGTACAATTTTAGCTTCTTTGCCAAAAATCAGTTGTTCATCCATCAACACCAGGAGAAGGGGAAAGAGACAAAGACCTCCTGAGCAGATTGGGAGCATGGGGGTGGGAGGAGGAAGGTAGGAGGAAGAGGGGACAGAGGAGAACATGAGGGATCAGAAACATAAAGGAAAGAGAAAAATAGAGAATGAGAGCAAGAAAAAGAAATACCTGAATAGAAGGACCCATTATAGGGTTAAAGAGAAATCTGACACTAGGGAAATGTCCAGGGATCCACAAGGATGACCCCAACTAAGAATCTAAGCAATAGTGAAGAGGCTACCTTAAATGCCCTTCCTCTATAATGAGATTGATGACTACCTTAAATGCCATCCTAGAGCCTTCATCTAGTAGCTGATGAAAGCAGGAGTAGACACCAACAGCTAAGCACTAAGCCAAACTCCTGGAATCCAGTTGTAGAGATGGAGGAGTGATGAGCAAAGAGATCAAGACCAGGCTGGGGAAACCCACAGAAACAGCTGACCTGAGCAAGTGGGAGCTCAAGGACCTCAGTCTGATAGCATAGGACCTAACCAGGCCCCCTAAACATGGGTGTCAGTTGGGAGGCCAGGGCAGTCGATGGGACCTCTGGCAGTGGAACCAGTATTTATCCTTAGTGCATGGACTTTGGGAGCCCATACTCTCTCAGCCTAGACACAAGGGGAAGCACATAGTTCCTGCCTCAAATGATGTGACAGACTTTGATGATCCCTCATGGGAGGTCTCACCCTCCCTGGGCAGTGGATGGGGGATGGGATGGAGGGTTGGTGAGGGGCATGGGAGGAAGGGAGGGAGAGGAAACTGGTGTTTTTAATTTAAAGAAAAAAGAAAAAAACTAAAGTCTTAGAAACAAGACAAAACACGAAAGGAGTGTAGGCGAGGCTAGAGTAGGCTGGAAGCTAGCTCATCTCCAGGAGCATGAAGCGCCCAGCAGCTGCCCCACCGCTGCCCACATCTCAAGGGAGGAAGAGCTCTTTTCAGTTATTAGTATTATTAATTCAAATACATTTGTATTTTAATTATAAAATTGTATTATTTCACTGCTAATTTCTTTAATTTTTCCATATCATATATTTTGATCATATTTTCCCCCTCTGTCAATTGTTCCCATTTCTCTACTCATTCAACTTCACATTCTTTCTCCCTTTCTCTGTCCCTCTCTCTTCCTCCCTCCCTACCTCCCTTTCTCTCTCTCTCTGTCTCTCTCAAAACCCCAAACCCAAATCAAAAACTCCAGATCCCACCCCCAAATACCTTCAGAAAATGAAAACGGCACCACTGATGAGTCGTATGTGACAGAGGGCCTCAATAAACATACACAGAATCAGACCAAACCAACACCAAGAGTGTAGGAACTTTAAAAGTATAATTCAACAGTGGTTCTGTTTGAGGCACTGAAACAGGATCACAGGGTCACAATGAACTGTCTTATACCTCAGCTGGAGTGGCGGGTCTGTGGTTCAAACCTAAAGCATGGTATAGCCCCTACTTGCCTTTCTCCTGCCCATCTCTTTCAATGAGGGCTCTGCATGAGATACATTGAAAACCACAGGCTTGGAGGCTTTCCAACCTTCTTCCAAGTACACACAAAGCTTTTCTGAACCAATGAAGATCATGCACATGATAATTTCATAATTTTTAAAATTACTTTTTTGTGAATTCCAAATATAAAGCCATTTAAGCCGCATTGACCTGTCTAGTGAAACGAGAGAATAAGGTGAAGGAGGAATCTACTGTGTACATGATAGAAAGCCAGAGATCTACAAGTATCAGCTGATGACATCTAAAAGGTTCTTGTACCCTAGCATCCTTTGGATCCCTCTGGTACACAAACTGCTATACCCTATCATGCCAGCTGGGGGAGATAGAATTTCAAGATTGCTGAGTGACTGGAGGTCTTGGCTGAGCCTCTTCATGGAAGACTTGAGTTGGAACAGGGCTCAACCAGCCTGGCCTAGGTAAATATGGTGGACACCAGCTGACCGGCAGCTGACTAAGAGTTGAGGAGATTGCAAGTGTTTGAAACTTAGAGGTAGATGCATAAAGGCTGGTTTCAATCAGGGCTGGGGGAGGTGGGGCTGGAAAGAAACTGCTGGAGTCTAGAGGAGTCAATGGAAAACAAGGGGTACAGAAGCTGACTGAATTCTGAGCTGGGAAATGGGACCTAGGTGAGCCTGGAACCATCAGAGGGAAGTCTCAACCTTCTAGATTGCACACAGTTAAGGAGGTGCTTGTACCTGCCTTGCTGGAGAGATGAGGGAGGTTCTGGAAACAGGAAGAATCCCAAGACCTTCTAAGTTTCCAGATTATAATTTCCATCCACCCCAATGCTTTGTTTGATTCTCTGCAAAATGTTGGGACTTGATAAAAATGGGCTAGACATAGGGTTTTCCTAGTCCTGGTAAGATTTATTTCATACATATATATATATTTTTCTTATTTTACATAAATGCCCTTCCCTGATAATGAAATTGATAACTACCTTATATGCCATCATAGAGCCCTCATCTAGTAGTTGTTGGAAACAGAAGCTAAACACTGAGCCAAACTCCTGGAATCAAGTTGCAGATATTCATTTCTATAGGACTCAGAATGAAAAGGAGTGATTGAGTGATTGACACCTCAGTAGTGCTGTAGACTCCTGTTAGTGTCATGAGAAAGCCAACCTTGGAGAGTTGTATATGGTTGAATACTATGACACACACCTTAATTCGCACCCTGGGGAAGCAGAGTCAGACAGATCTCTGTGAGTTTAAGACCGGATTGGACTACATGGCAAAGTCCAGGTCAGCTGGGTATATGGTGAGAGCCTATATCAAAAACCAAACAAACGACTCACTAATCCTCACCATATATGGTTGATATGTGTATGGGAATGGTCTAGCCTGAATTTCCAGCAGGGTGAGCTTTGGGGAAGAAGTAAGCAAAGCCTGGAATTGACATGAGAGGGCTGCCTGGCCCAGAGAGGAGAGCATGAGAGTGGCTGCAACAATACAGGACTTCAGTTGAGTTCACTGTGGAGATGAATTTATTGTGAATTTTCAGCCCTTGCCTCCCTCCCCATGTGGTGCTTGCCTGTGTGCAGACAAGCTAGTCAGACACAGCTGGGTTTTACCACCTTTTAGACGGGATTCATGTTTCTTTTTATCCACTGCAGGAAAGACACGACTTTAGTTAAGATTCCCGGAGAGATGCTCTTGGTACTTCCATAGGACACACTCCATAATCTCTGTTGTCACCCATGAGGAGTCCCCCCAGAGTCACCCTGTGGACAGGAAAATGAAGAACTGAGCCTGGTTCCCCTGGCTCTGTCCTCCCTACCTCCTCCTGGGAAGGTTAACTGTTAGGTCAAAGCCAGGACAGGTTGTCGAATTCCCTCAGTATCAGAGCTCCAGGGACACCAGACTTTTCCTTCTAGCTCAGACCTAGGCTTCCCCTGAAGTCTTCAGGGATCCTCTGGGATAATTTATGCTGCTTTGGGATGGGGGAGTTTACAGTCTTCCACTCTTGCTAACCCATGGAGGGACTCAAAGCTGGATTTGGGATGTCACTGCTGTGAGCTGAGGCTTGAGGGTCTGGCCATCATCATAACTAGGCCTGTCTCTCTCAGGTTCCTCTGTCCTTGCACTTTGTGTGTTAAATGCTTGAGCCCACCTTGAAAGCAGCCTGTATTTTCTTTGGGTCTCCAGCAAAAATCTGTGAGGTGTTGGAGTAGTGGTGGAAGTATGATTTGCATTTCTGGTCCTCCTGGATGATCAATATGGCCTCTTGTAGGCAGGCAGTTCTAGGGGAATTGAGGGATGTTTTCTCCCAGCCAGCAGGCGGCACACATGCCTGGGCTTTACTTCAGCATTGACCCTGGGTAGCTTGAGGGGCCTCATGGCTTTAAACCTCTTGGCCTTTCTCTCCAGCCGATGGGGAAGAGACAGGAGAGAGCAGCTCAGCCAGGATCCTGGTGTACTGGGACACTCTGAAAACCAGGAAGGCAGGGAGGGAAAGCAGGGAGAGAGCAGGAGGGGAGGAGCAATCCCTGCGGCAAGCAGAGCAGAGGCACCAGGGATGGATCAAGTGTGGGTGGGGGAATGTTTGGGGGTGGTGTGCTTGTGGCTGGTTTCCCCTTTAGGATCATTAATCCTTGGAGTCCTAGTCAGATTATAAGCCGGGTGTGGAAAGCTTTTGCCACAGAGATGATCTGCTGGGTCTCCTGTGCTGTGACATCATGGGCTCCCAGAGTGACTTTCATAAAGCTGTAGAGAGCAGAGTGGAGATGAGAGATGTGGGGTGAGAGAGACCACCAACCAGGAGATGTGAGATGCAGGTGGGCAGAGTAGAGATCTAGCTGAGGGGACCTGCGAGACAGGAGGGTTTCAAGGTTTGACCTGATGATGTTTTGCTTGACAAGATCTTAGACTCCAGGAGGCTACCTCTTAATTCTGTGCAATATTGTAAAATTTGCATTGACTCTTTATGTGTACTTTCTACCTGAACCACTGGTCAGTGCAATTACTTTCAACTCTAGTGTGCTGCTAACTCTGACCTTTGACCTCAAAGTTTCCCTGTTTTCAGACTTCTATTTCCACAATCCTGCCTTCTAGCCAGCTCTCACAGGAGCATCTACCAGTAAAGTTCAGAAGATCCTGTTGAGGTCTCAGAAAATGTGGGCCTGATGTTTCTCCTCATCTTCCTGGGCACTGAGCAGCTGTCAGCATGAAGTTGTCTCACACCAAGAAGCTTCCACAGCGGCTCTTCTTCCCACCAACATTCAGACTGAATAAATGCCATGTAGGAGCAGGAGTGGGCTTGACCCCATGGCCCTGAAGATCTCTTCCGAAAGAAAAGGCTAGAATGTGGGGTGTCTGGGAGCAGCAGTTGAGGGCAGGAGGGAAGATCTAGGGAAGGGTGAAGACGATAGGATCTTCAGTTCCCCAAGCATGTGGTGGACAGAACTCTTTGCACACAGAATAATCTTTGTTGAATCTTAAGCCTCAGCCCTGCTCTGAGAAGGGGTGTGTTGTGTAGCACTTGTCCTCTTTCCTGTCTTTACAACTAACTGAAGGGACAAACTCTAACCTCATGATGGTAGAGTCAATGAGATCCTGCATGGCTTGCCTTGGTCATTTCCTTGTTAGTCTCCCCAACCCTGCTAATGTCTTAATTGGTGCCATTTTCTCACCTTTTACCTTGAAGCCCTATGGAAGGGGGGGTCTTCTAAAATTTATCTATTCTGGTGTCCAACATATCTTGTATTCTCAGTAAAAATGATTTTGCAGCATGGATAAATGACTTCTTGTTAGTTGGAAGGCTGAGGGTTCAGAGCTCATGGGATGCAGAGCCTGGGAGCCATTGGAGTAGTGTGCTGGCAAAGATGGAAATAGCCAGGGACCTGCAGAAAGAATTGGAATTAGCTCTAGAATACGGAGCTAGCAGAGGGTGCATTGCAGGCCTCTTGTGACCCTGAGCCTCTTTCTTCAGCAGGCTGAGGGTGGAGGTTCCTAAATGATGCTACTCTTCTAGAGCTGGTGTCCTTACTAGAATGCAAACTGGTCATTAAAGCTGTCCCTTCTATGGGCTCAAGTATAGTAAAAGGTGTACTTGCTGTAGGCTCTCATTCTCTGTAATGTCTCTGTCTCAGCAAGATTTATTCCCCAGGTGACAAAAGGAAGTTGAGAGAATCTAGTGCCCACCAAGTCTTCTGGGAAATCCTCCCTTCTTCTGGCATTGTTCAGGATCTAGACAGTGACTGACTTCCAGGTATGGGATCTGGGGTTCAGAAAGATCCTGGTTCAGTGCAGGACAGTTCCTGATCAGAGCTAGGCAGAGAGCCTGCAGATATATTATGGGATGGCACCTCTGTGACACAGGTGTTTATTCACCTGCACCAGCTCCACACGGCAGAAGAAAAGTCAGGAGAATCAGGACAGGTGACATCTTCCCAGGAAGGCTTCTCAAGTTGGAGGAGTGCAGAGGAGACACAGCCCTTGTAGGGATGGAGGAGGTGAGTGCTCAGTGACCTCACAGGCATTTTAAACCTTCTGCACCACTACTCTCATTGGCTCTATCATTTAAGGACTTTTCCAGGTTTAGATAAAATGACACTGTCAACACACTGACATGAGCTAAGCCAGAAAAAGAGACCAGGAAAAGAGGGTTTGAGTCTGTGGTTGTGGGTAGCCTGAGACCCCAGGAGTCCTCAGTCTGCATTGAACCAAAGTCTGTTCTTTCTTACCTCTTACCCCCTTTATGTTTTGGTAAAATCTCTCTCTCTCTCTCTCTCTCTCTCTCTCTCTCTCTCTCTCTCTCTCTCTCTCTGGTTTCTTTCTTTCCATTTAAAATAACACAGACAACCAAATAACCATGAAACAGTTACAGCACTACAAATACACAACAAATTTATGGGGTACTTAGTAAGACTTTATACAGAGCCGTATTTGACTAGGCAGTTTCGGTAGGCATCTAATTAACCTCTGGGACTTCTGATCATACAGTGAAATCATCTGTTGGAATAGCATGATGAATTAACCTTAACTCACTATAACTCTCCTAAACTGCTAGGACATCACAGAGAAATCCCAAAAGCAAGTGTTTGCCCTGTGGCCATGATCATGTCTTAGAGTCATACATAGTTAAGTATAATAACCAATTGCAATGACATTTATTGGTTACCTGATGTTTAGGAATTGGCACTTACTTCTAAGCAAGTACTTCAGGGTTGAATTTGATGCACAGTAAGATTGCATCCACACTGGCTTCCCTGCTGAGGACTGTAGTGGTGTTTTCACAATGTTGTCTAGGATTTTCTCTAATGAACAAGGACCTTGATGAGATCCTGAATGACTTTTTAGATGGCTAGATCCAGGAGTGAGACACACAGGGAAAACCTGATATTGACTGGAGTGAGTTGAGAACCTGAGCTTAGAGCATGCAATGTTTAGAGCTGTGTGGGATCAACTCTGGGATGTGAGACAGGTTGTCCTGGCCCTAATAACAGGTGTGTGTGTGTGTGTGTGTGTGTGTGTGTGTGTGTGTGTGTGTGTGTGTGTGTTGTATTCCTGCTTTCCAGCATAGCTTCATGGCTTTTAGATACTTTTGAATTTTCTCCTTTCTTACCTTATGACCAAGAGAGGCTCTCCTGTCTTGGCGGTGACCTACAGTGCTGATGTGAATTGGACCAGAATTCATTATCCAGTGGAGGGATGTGTCACCTTTTGGCCTCTCTGGGCCACAGTGAAGGGATAACTGTTTTGGGCTACACACTACTCATACAAACTGTGAGGAAAGAGATAATTCCCACCTGAAAAGGGACCACATGTAAGTGACACAATATCTGCACACACAGAGAAGCAACAACATTCTTAGACAATAAAGTAATCTTAATTATATGGAGCCCATTTAAACAGAATCTTTCAAGTCCATGCAGCAGGCTCCATGTTTGTGATTTATAATAAAGAAATTGAAGTTATATAAGTAATTAAATTTATTTTGGTATACTTTTAATCATAAAGTAAAGGAGGACAACAGAATTTTGTGGGAAGTTTGACATTGCTCTTGAGCTAGGAATGCTTTACCCCCTTGATGGGCATAGCTCTGATCTCAGCGAAGTTCTAAGTTGGGGCTGAGATGTTTTAGTTCTAATTTTACTGTGAGTGTGCTTAACACCCTGAATTAATAAAAAATAAATACAATCAT